ATTTGAAAACGCTCCCTTCACATTCAATCATCAGATTATGAGATACTCTGCGTATAGGTGACGAATGTTTGAATTCCAATCAGAATCATGAACAGAGGGGGACGAGTGGTCCAGTCGCCTACGTTATGGCTGGAATACTGATAAACGCTGAGCTAAACCCACCTCACTCCCTGTACCGTACACGAGCAAAAGAAACAATAAAACAGATCTAAAACAGTTTCAAGCATAATTATTTTCCTGTTTTAAAATTTGACATTGGAAATTAAGATAAGGTGAAAATCATATTAGTATTACCATAGTTAATTCGGAACCCTACATGCCCGGAATTGACAGGGTTTCGGATTAGTCAGAGTCCGGTTTTGACAGATTTCGCTGAAACTGAGAGGCTATAATATGTCCCCTATTACACAGAGAGTTAGTCTGTCTTACAGACCCTGATACAAATATATATCAAATACAGCCCATGCAAGTCTATAATGTTTGGCAAGTCTAGATCACTGCAGTATCTGAAAATGAAGAGAGTCACTGGGCTCCTTTTTATTATATTTTTCTTAAGATAACTGAACAGCTGTTTTTTTCTGTCAAAATGTTCATTTCAGAGACTAGATGTAAGTCTAACAGAGAGTTTCAGCCTCAGTGTGTTCAAGGTTCAGTTGTATGTTGTTTTTTACAAACTTACAGATAATAACAAAAATGTAACTAAAATAAAATGGGTCATTTATCAACTAAACAAACACATGACTTTCACTTTTACTGACTCATTATCGATCCTAAAACAATTATGACTACACAATACAAGAGCAAGGTTCGGAAATTAGTTATACCGATAAGAAAAACACGTTATTTTATGTCCCCTTCAATAAATCCATAGCGCTAAGGGAGGTAACTGGTGTGCAAGCGTACCCGAAAGTTACATCTACTCAGCACCTGATTTGCTCTCGGCAGTCCCAACTTGTTGCGAGGGGTAAGATGGCGCTCCGAACAGTCCCTCTCATCGTGTGTCTCATGGCGATTCTTCTCATGACGGGTATAGTAATTATTTTACATTTATATCATTTAAACAGTCGGATCTGATCGAACCTGATCGCTCTTTTTCTTTTCCTATACAACGAGCGTACATGTTTATACTTGAAGTGTACCATTCGTTGACCAGTGGCTATTTTTAACACTGACTCGTACTTATTATAATATTTTTCTCATAAAAATGCGATTTATGTTCCCTCACCTACTGACACGTTGCCTCGGGGATGTTGCAAAAATAGCAGTTGATGTAAGAGACGGATTGTTCACCGATGCAATCTGTCACTTTGTTTTAGATGCATTGTGTTTTGTGATACCTGGCGCTAGTACCAAGTCTACATAGTACGCCGGCAGTGGTACACGAAGCTTAGAGGGGTCGTGGTTTACATGTGGACTGTGCACTGTCACATTCACCTCCACATTCGATGGGGGGACAGGCTGGTTGTTTGGGGGAAGCTAATGTGATAATTGAAAATCAATACCAAGGCATGAGACCAGCGATAAATATAACGCTCCAGTGCGCGCGCCGGACACCTGGAGCAGACGACAGATGGTGGAGGGCCGTTAAAGGCTCTCTCCCAATCCTCCATTGTCACAAATAATGTGTGAAGTTAAAGGTTAAATTACTAAACTCTATTGTATAGATTTAAAGGCGCATTATCTCTATTGTGCTACGCTAACTAAAGCTGAATACGCCATAATCGGTCGCGTTATGCACATGTAAAGGGGTGGTCGTCTGAGTGTTGTGTTACGGGTGGGGTGGTGTCCCCTCAAAATGCACCCGTTGATTGTGGAGAAAGAGGGAGAAACTAGTTTATTATGTCTGACCTTCTGTACAACAGAAAAATACCGAGTGAGAGAAAAGTATGTAGAAATGTGCACGCGACTTCCTGAGGGTTACGATAGATCATATATAAATGCTTCCTACCTGGACACACTCACAATACTTAGAAGACAACTTCAGGTTTGCCTGTGTAGAATGTTGCGTGAGACATCGTATGTGCGAAAATGCTGGATAGTTAGAATTTGTATTGGGCCAGTGAACAATCTACTTTCTCCAAATGTTAACTTTGAATCATTAATACCTTCCTCTTCGTCACTGTCTTGTTTTTAGCGTTCGCCCCCCCCCCCCCCCCCCCCCCCCCCCCCCGAGCACTTTCATTTCAGTCCTTTTTTCTTAGAGCGTTGATAATGTGTTTTTTTAATTTTTTTATTTATTTTATTTTATTTTATTTTATTTTATTTTATTTTATTTTATTTATTTTATTTTATTTTATTTTATTTTATTTTATTTTATTTTATTTTATTTTATTTTATTTTATTTTATTTTATTTTATTTTATTTTATTTTATTTTATTTTATTTTATTTTATTTTATTTTATTTATTTTATTTTTAATCCCCATCCATATGTCTACAGCAGTGTTGTTATTCCGTTAAAGGATCAAGCATTGTGTTGTCAGTCATTAACTGTAGCCCACAATAGGAGTGTTGCTGTTTGACAGGAGGGAAGTTTTTTATGAAATGGTCCGTGTTCTCATTAGTCGATATCTAAGAACGCCAAGCGTGTGGTGCCATGCTTCGCGGCTGACATACCGCTGCTCCACTTTGAGATTTTAGTGCCATTCCTCGACACCGTAAAGGAACCTATATAGGGCTCTGACGTCATGGTGCCATGCTGCGGAGCACGAGTCCGATTAGAGCCTGACGTTACGTCGTCTCCAAGTCGCTATGAGAAAGCACTGCCACTATGGCGTCAGTCAGGCATCTCTTTACCAGTCCCTCAGTGAAACTAGAGAAAACATACTTAGTCCACGCCATTCTTTGACAACACGTGTCAAACTCTATTACCGTGACACTTTGTACTGAACGTGTGACTACTAGTAATACTGCTTTAACATTCAAACAAAAATATTTAAAACGGAATTTAACCATACATGTTCACGCATTCACGTGATCGTCATGAGAAACGTTGACCTTCGTTGATTGAGATGTCAATGCTTATTAATTTAATTCTATTATTAGGGGAATCTCTTAAAGTCGGGAAAGAAAATTCATTTGTTAAAAGGTACTTTTTGTCATTTAGATTTGAATATGACTATGTTTTCAAATTCTTATTTACCGCCTCTAGAATGCAAATTCACACTTTTATATGTTTTAGTAGTAATTAACACCATGCTCAAGTACAACCTCTTCAAGCATGTCAGTGGTATACAGTTAACCTTGTTAATCCGGACGGTAGGTTCGCACTGGATTCGCCATTTTTGTCGTACAGACCTTATTAATAGCCCGGGAACTGGATCAGTGTGCACTCAATTTTCATTCTCAGCTCCTTGGGGAGTATATATCCCAAGCAGCCTGTAAGGTGATAGAAGGTTCTTATAGTTACATTACCATCTCCTCCTACCGGGTACCCATTCACTGCTGGGTGAACAGAGGCTTATTTTAAGTCACATCACGGGGAAAGCAGGTTACCGGAAAAACGAGGTTTCAATGTAGTGACGCTATTGTAAAACTTTGTACATCACAATATATATATATATATATATATATATATATATATATATATATATATATATATATATATATATATATATATATATAAGGTTCATATTATATATATTGCGTTATCCGACCATCTACTTCAAAAATTATATTCACATCACTCATTCAAAATACTATGAAAACCAAGTATAAGTTTTAATGTCGCTATTATTATGCCACCTATTTCAAAATACAACTCAAAGAAATTAATTAGCTACGACAGGTGAGCATTTGTTATGAACAATATAACGCCGGAACTCTACAATATATTCATACCACTCATTCATACATACTGTGAACACCAAGTACAGCTTATAATGTCGCTATTATCTGCTAAGATTAATTAATTTACACTCATTGTTTAATGTGAGCGCTTGGCCCCGTTGAGATGTTAAAGCCTGCGTCCTTGAACATCTGGTAGGCTGTCATTTCCCCTGGGGCGTGAACAGTCCCGCAATGTTCAGTTGTTACAGACCGACTTGAATACTCGTATAAACAGTACTCTCTTTAAGCTGGGAGTTAGCACAACTTCTTTTATCGTGCCTAGATTAATCGCGTAAGACGTACATTCAATATAATTAAGCGTTCGTTTAGTAGGGTGGATTCTAATGACATCATTGAGGAAGAATCAAATCAACGCCGCAGTTTTAACAGCTGTGAAAATATTGCTTGACTTTATTTTACGTTTCTTAGTTTCACTCAATCCACCTGAGAGGTATTACTGAGCGTAAGTCTATTTTTAGATGCACTCAGTGTAGAGATTGCATTTTCAAAACAAAGGGGTCGGTGGTGGAAATAACGCAGATGAAATTAGATAAATTGATACTGTTTTGACACGGAGCGTGGTGGCCAGAGAACGGAAGGCCTGTGTTTCGATGGGAGCGTCATACCAAAAGATGTTAAAAGATGGTACTTGTTGTTACCCTGCCTGGCGTTCGGGGACTGGTCGGCTAGGAGTCAGGATACTGTGACCGAGTGGAGTGTCCACGCTAAACTGCAGCATGGTATCTCAACGGACTACCACTATAAAACTAGTAGTATTATTCTGTTTTCGGGGGCTCTTTGTAAGTCCACTCAGCCCATGTTGGACAAGCCTGCATGCCCCTTTAAATCCACGTGAACCCCGTCCGCACGGCTGACCAAGTCACTGCCGTGTTAATTCACAGACAATCACGCAGACGTGCCGTATCACGTCTCTGCAAATTACTACGCACGTACGGCTGATCACTCAGAGGTCAGTTGATGTTCAAACGCTGGACGGTTTAAGAGCAACCCTTTAGGTGGACATTCGAGGTTTCATATTCTGAAGATGCGGGGTTTTGTCAAATGATAGAAAACACGCATTTCAGTACTTCGTAAGAAATTGTCCTGAGTTCTCCGCTGGTCAGCGTACCACTTCCTGCTGACCCACGTGTTCCCTTGCCCATATCGTGAACAACATGTTTTAACTAGACAAAAGTTTTTTACAGGACAAAACGCAATGTCGGCAAGAGCATGTTGGTTACTGAATAAAAATTCACGACAGTGTAATTGCTTCACTACTATTCGCATGATAGTTCTGTCGCACAATTGATCTGTTACGTTTTTGATATTTGATAAGGCCATTGAATGCCAGGAAAGAGGGAAACAGTACTCAGTGAAACAGTAGTGTGTGTGTGGTTTGGAGGGGGGCAATACTTAAGACAAATCATACGAAGGACATCAGTACTTAGGAAAACAGTATTGTTGAATCAATACTTAGAGAAACAGTATTGTTGAATCAATACTTAGAGAAACAGTATTCGGGGAATCAGTACTTAGGGAAACAGTACTGGGGAGTCAATACTTAGAGAAACAGTATTGTTGAATCAATACTTAGAGAAACAGTATTCGGGGAATCAGTACTTAGGAAAACAGTACTGGGGGAGTCAATACTTAGAGAAACAGTATTGCTGAATCAATACTTAGAGAAACAGTATTCGGGGAATCAGTACTTAGGAAAACAGTACTGGGGAGTCAATACTTAGAGAAACAGTACTGGGGGAGTCAATACTTAGAGAAACAGTATTGTTGAATCAATACTTAGAGAAACAGTATTCGGGGAATCAGTACTTAGGAAACAGTGCTGGGGGAGTCAATGTTTAGAGAAACAGTATTGTTGAATAAATACTTAGGAAAACAGTATTGGGAATATCAATACTTAAGGAAACAGTTTGTAGGGAGTGAGTACTTAGGGAAATAGTATTTGGTGGAATCAATATTTAGAAAAACAGTTCTTAGGGAAATAGTTTGGGGGGAATCAGTATTGTGGGGATCAGTACTAAAAGTAACAGTAGTTTTTGAAACGGTAATTTTGGAAGAGTACCATGGAAACAGCGGTTAGGGAACCACCAGGCAAGCAGTACTTATGAACGTTCATTGAATTAATCCGAATGGCGGCATCATTGATGAGTGATCAGATATTGACCAGGCATTGGTTGGCCATTACTGGAGTGAGTCTGAATGTATGCCGCTTTCAGCACTATTCCCGCCATATCACGGCGGGGTAAAATGAAATGTCTTTGATATATTGTACTCAAGTATGAAATCGAACCAGGGGATTGGGAGCGATGGGTTCACGCCTTACCCACAAGGCCATCGCCCCTCGATTGGGACAGACCAGTGACAATACTTACTGCTGCAAGTTGAACTGTTCACGCACGGCCACGTACCCGCTACAGAAGCACGTTCAAGTGTAGGTCGAATGGAGTGAGTGAGTTGGATTTTACGCTGCTTTTTAGCAATATTCCAGCAATAACACGACGGGGACCCCAGAAATGGGGTTCACATGACGGAATGGAACGTGTATATACACATATAGGTGCACAAATAATGAGGATGACACCTATCGTGATATCTTTTGAGCATTTTGCAAAATACTGACAATCATGTTAATCATGTTAAAACCTGACATAGATTAAAGAAATTCATTAGCTTGGACGCAATTTGAAATCTTGATGTTAGGCTTAACACTGACACATTTATTATTGAAAGATAAGTAGATCTATTCGTGTTAATCGCTGTTTCTCTGTTTGAAATTGTAAATGTGTCGTCTGCTGGATCATCTGCTGGCCATTACCTATTAGCTGTTGCCACACGGCATGGCCAAGGGTATGGGCAAACTCAGGGCCTGTAACGGGGATGTACTCTGGTAACTTCAAACACCACCATCCTTTTTCAGGTGGAGCTAATTCAGGCCACTGGGGGATATATAGACTTGCACAAGTCTCCAAGTCAATAATTATTAGTTTTAATCATAATTTCTAGATTATGTCAATAGTAAGAACAAGTTGTCGCCATAAGAGACTGGAGTCCTTACTGTCCACATATCTAGACTTGCCTATTAGGAGGATAGAATTACTACAGATCCATGGATTTATCTTTCAGTGCAGCCTTGGAGCAAGGCTATATGATATAGCGTAGAGTTAAGACCAACCCTTCGTCTCTAAAATATATTTTTGATAGAAAGAAGTAACTACATTTATATTTAAAAGGAGCCCCAATGAGATGGAAGTGTCTTGTGTAAAATCTAGACTTGCAGATAAGAGCTATAGCATTACAGTCAGGGCTGGGCGGAAGGGAAATGAATATGGCCCAGGGACTGTGAGACAGACTATGTACAGTGTAACATATCTTACTCGAACTTACATGACGATGTAACTTATGGTATCCGGAGAATTCTAATCTTTTATTGACCCCGTTCAACTCGTACTACTGATAACATTATATTGTTTTAAAATCTCCTTGAATCTCGAATCAACGGTTATAACGAACTCAAAGGGACCAATAATTTTTGTTCCTTATAACCGTAGTTCGTTATAAGCGTTTCAACTAAAGGATACCGAAGTGATGGATATAACGAACTGTTGTTTTTGGCCATTTGCGGGACCAAAAACAACAGTTCGTTATATCCATCACTTCGTTATAAGCGTGTTCGTTATAAACGTAGTTTACTGTATGTGTCTCTGGGAAGAACAAGTGTTCCTTTAGGGCAAACTACACAATGCTTCAATATAATGTTGTGTTCGTTTGATACATATCAGTTCACTCTGCTAATGCCAGTTTGGTCTTTCCCAGAATGCCTGGCGCGACACAGACGTCGACATCAGCGAGCGAGCAGACGACGTCCACCGCTGTCGGAGTTCCCGCCACGCCTGCACGCCCAGTTTGCCGCCGTTGCAAACAACTTCACGTGGAATCTCTACAAACAGTTATCCTCGGGGCGGCAAAATTTAGTGTTCTCCCCCGTCAGTGTGTTCAAGACTGTCTCCATGGTGTACCTCGGAGCAACGAACGTTACTGCCAAGGAAATATTCAATGCAGTGGGATATAAGCTGTTAAAAAGACCCAGAAAAGTGCGTAAGGCGTTCCGCCATTTTGGAGAAATGATGCGCAGACCTATGCGCAATGTGTCGTTCCAAGTGGCCGATGCGCTGTACGTTCATGAATCGATTCATCTCAGAAACAGATTCGTCAAACGGATGAGGAAATTCTATAAAGCCAAAATACGGAAATATAATCACAACACCAAGAATGCCGCAGTGTCCTCCCTTAAGAAATGGATAAAAAGGAACACCCGGGGCAAGTTGAATGACTTCAAGACTAATTTATCCGTCAAAAGCAAAAGGGCGTTGTTGTTTATGAACGCCGTCTATTTCAATGGCTCCTGGGACATGTTGTTCGACCGCACGCTGACCAACCGCACCATGTTCGACATCAACAGATACACCCGAACCAAAGTCGACATGATGTTTTGTGACTGGAGGTACTATTATAAAATAAACCCTGAACTTAAGGTCAAGGTCATTGAAATACCATACGACTCGCACAGGTTTAGTTTTTATGTAATTCTACCCGATGACGTCAATGGACTTGAAGAACTGGAACGGAAGCTGACATCCACGACGTTTCAGAATCTCATAACAGATATGAAAGGGCCAGCACGCTTTCATTTGCGCATGCCGCGCATGAATCTCATGAGTGACCTTGACCTCAAACCTCATTTGAAGAAAATGGGGATCAAAGATGTGTTTGAGAAGAATGCAGATATGTCGCCGATAGATGGCACTAAGAATTTGTTTGTAGATCACGTGATGCATATGTCAGTTCTGGACGTGGATGAGGGTGGCAGCGTGGGGTCAGGGGTCACGGGGGCAGGTATAGCGCTGAGGTCAGTGCCCCCCGAGTTCAAGGCCGACAGACCCTTCATGTTCGTGATTAAAGACAAATTAACAAAAACCGATTTATTCATGGGCAAATATTCTGATCCACGTGCCTCGTAATTACTGAGAATATGTTGTCCTTGACCGACATTTACGGGGAAATTCCTCAACCTCCTTCGAGAATACGGACCTTATATGAGGTGGACGAGGAAGGCGTAACAATGCAATTCTTTGATGGGATTTTTTCTCATTGGTGAGGATGATGCTGTGGTGTATACTAGAGAGTCAGACAGTTCTCACAAAAATACACGACGTGGGGGTCAATTATGCACGCCCCGTCCCTCAAGCGTTCATCGCGCAGACTGTGTGATCTACTTCGACGCAGACAACCAGTATGGTGGTGTAACAGTTAAATTGACCCTCAGGCATACAGTATAGTGGTATATATTTTCAACAAGTTTAAATTATAGTATTTCAATGAATTTATAAATATTGACAGCAACAGTAAATGAGGATTTTAACATTTTATTTAATTTTGGCCAGGGGAATAAAAATACATTATTTGGGTTTTTACATTTCAATTTTTGGAGTCTGCGGATTCGTAAACCAAGGTTTAATCAAGTTTGGCCTGACAGATATAAAGAAAAACATTCTGATATGTACGGTGTCCCATAAGGGACATGGAGTCTGTTTTTCCATATTTTGATTTTTTCACTTACTTTTGTCGTTATCTTTTGCAAATTAACACAATTTGTCTTACAAATATGTGATAAATCATGTGTGAAGGAGATATTGAATCGCTGAAAAGTGAAACGAAAATGTCAAAAACTAAAATGAAAATGTCAAAAATCAAAAGCGAAAATGTCAAAAACTAAAATGAAAATACAGAAAACTATTTCCACCGCGGTGGAAATAGTTTTCTGTATTTTCATTTTAGTTTTTGACATTTTCGCTTCACATTTCAGCGACTCAATAGCTACTTGAAAGTACATTTTCCATGTTTTCGGTTGTTTATACATGATTTATCACATATTTGTATGACAAATTGTGTTAATTTGCTAAAGGTTACTATAAAAGTAAAATATCAAAATATTGAAAAACAGACTCCATGTCCCTTATGGGCCACCGTAGATATGACTTGCAGCGTCAGCGTGACGGCCTTTGAAAAGCAATTTCAAATTATTATGCCATTGTTTTGTCTATGCACAGTAAGGTGTCAGCTTCTTGTTGCTGATTTGCCCTTAGATATACATGTGTGTCAAGGCAACGTCACATAGCCTAAACATATACTATATACTGTGTCTGTAACAAAGGCAACCTCGTTAATCCAGACAACATTGTCCAGATTAACGAGATTCCGTATTAAAGAGTAATGGATAACATGTATCATCCTGTTGATTATAAACATTTTTCCAAACAAAAATCGACCGGAAATGGCGATTTCCGGGCTGACGGGGTATATCTTTGTTTTTGTTATTTTTATTTTATTTTTATTTTTTTGGACGGGGTATTTTACAATTAACAGATTCAGGTGTCCATCTGTGCGTGTATGTGTTTTTGTCAATAATCGTATGATCGTTCTCAGTCTCGGTTCTGTTCGTAACCATGGTAGCACGGGTTAGTTTGTAACATATGACCTCAGTATATGAAATTTGTCAGGATGCAAGCGGCATCATGGAAGTTAAACGGGGGGGGGTGGGGGGATGGGGGGTGGGGGGGTGTTTAGAGGACATTTGAATCTGGGGGACACAGGTGTTGTGCGTCAACACTTGCATCAATAGGACAAGGGTTGTGTAGGGTCGGTATGTGTATATCACCTATGAGATATGGGGCCACGAATTTACTTGATGCTGAGTTGGACAAAGTCTGAAATAGAATTAAATGAGGCGAACTGTGTCAGAGAGAGGCGGAAGCGCGTGTGTGTAGCCGCGCGGGGGAGTAGGGGTGGGGTAACATCATCTCCCTACAGGCCTAATGGCCTCCTGCACTCCACTGGCTGGAAATGTTAAATAATGGCACTCTTTGTCTCTCAAGGTATCGCAGCATAGAGAATAGATGGCGTACAATTCCTTGGTATGTTGTGAACGGGCGACAGGGTGACCGACTCCTAATGAACGCACTGTCAGAACAAAATGAGTACTCAAAACATTTTGTTGATATTCCAATTATTCTTTCTGACATTTTTTCACCTTGTTTTATACAGTTGACGTATTTTAGATTGACTGTAATATATCTAAGTTTCTATTTACATCTTTATTTTACTGTTTTTTCATTCAGTGTTATTGTTGATTTAAATGTGGTGTTATGGTTGAAACATCTACGGCATGAAACCCTGTCATTTAGAAGGTATACATTTTGCAAGTCTTGAAACCGGTTGAATATTACATTTGTATATTTATTGTCTTTGTGTTTGTATATGTATGTTGTACGTATACAGCTGGTCTGATTATTGAGGTGACCGGGCTTAAGCAAATGCTGGAATTATATAAGTGAGTGAATGGGATTTTACGCCGTATAGTGATCAATGGCTCCGCTGTTTCACACGAACAAGTAGTGGGTTCGGCCCTGGAGCAAGGCAACCGAGGGCAGTGTGTACGTTAACCCACGCTGTTGAACCACGTTTAGCAATGTGTTAATTGAATTAGGTCATTTAAATATACCCATGAAATGTGTGAATGGTAAGTCAAACGATGACCTTGTAAAATTTGGAAAGTGTTAATCAGGGCATTAAGGCTCCAAGGTAAAACAGTCTGGATTTACAAATGTCCGGATTAAAAATGTCAAGATTAAGAAATGTCAGGATTACCAAATGTCCGGTTTGACAATTTGACCGGAAATAACAAATGTCCGGGTTGACGAATGTCCGAAATTAACAAATATCCGGATTAACAAATGTCCGGGTTGACGAATGTCCAGAATTAACAAACGTCCGGATAAAAAAAAGTGTCCGGATCTATGGGTATGTGGGTATGGAGTTGTATGGTGTGAAAGGCAAGGTCCGGAGAAATGTGGTTTACCTGTATACAAATAGCATGCAGGTTGTCATACTAATATGATACAGTGTCAGTTTGAACACGTACTGTACCACATTAGCAGGGCAACCTGCATGCTATTTGTATACGGGTAAACCACATGTCTGTGGACACAAGAAACTAAAATGTTAATCCTAAAATGTTCATTTCCCAGTTGATTTTCTTTGTATATGATACCCACTGCTGGTCTTGGTGCTGCAAACCGTGCACGAGTACTGAACCTTTAGTCCTATTTTATACATGCACTTTTAGACTTGTAGTCTGTTGAAGTGCGAGTCAAGGCGTATGTGTCAGGTATTGTGATGTGTTGTGATCTCACGCGGTTTCATTCCATAGATAAACACGAGTCAGCTGTTTCTGTGCCCAACCAACAGACCGACATTGTCGGAAATGGTCTGTTTCAACATGTTCTCATTGAATAAAAAGAATATCACCTTTCGAAAATAATCTTTTTTTGTGATTTGTTTCTGGTTAATGCATCCATATTTATGGGGGTTTTTTCTAAGATGTTTTGTAATTATTATTATTTTATTATTTTTTCTTTGGGGGTGGGGGTGGGGGGGTACAATGTCGGTCAGCGTGAGAAGCAGCTAAGTAACGGTAGTATGGTGATGGACATCGCCAATGTTGGTGTGAAAGGGATTGTGACATTTGCTAGTGACAATATAAATAGAGCGTCATTTCATGTCAAATACATTATATCGACATGAGTCAATAAAAGTTTAAAACTCCGAGGCTTGCATCCTAAAAGAAGAGTCTTCCAACAATGACTGAAAAATAAAAGAAGTTTTTTCTGACAGGTCGTCAAATCGTCTGTTACTATCAGAGGTGTTTATTGTGATTTGATACCCCCGATTGACCAATTAGAATCGATTTTTTTCCCAAACTTATTTGGCGATGTTTACTTGGTCAGAGGGAGGAGAATCGTCTGGGCTTTCTTTAGGACAATACACATGGAGCTGACGACACGAACTGTGGAGCTCTACATCCATCAGATACACGCAATGGACGCCTGCTGTCACTCCTGCTTCACCTGACCCCCGTGGACTAACACGTTATCACGATGAGGGAGCTTCAGCGTGTTCAAACCACCAGGAACTGCATGTTGGCTACAAGCCTGTCAAGTTATATATTCCACACCCTGCAGACCTGCCATTTTGCATGCAGACTAGAAATGATCTATCACCATGAACTGCATGTTGGCTACAAGCCTGTCAAGTTATATATTCCACACCCTGCAGACCTGCCATTTTGCATGCAGACTAGAAATGATCTATCACCATGAATTACATGTTGGCTACAAGCCTGTCAAGTTATATATTCCACACCTTGCAGACCTGCCATTTTGCATGCAGACTAGAAATGATCTATCACCATGAACTACATGTTGGCTACAAGCCTGTCAAGTTATATATTCCACACCCTGCAGACCTGTCATTTTGCATGCAGACTAGAAATGATCTATCACCATGAACTACATGTTGGCTACAAGCCTGTCATGTTATATATTCCACACCCTGCAGACCTGCCATTTTGCATGCAGACTAGAAATGATCTATCACCATGAACTACATGTTGGCTACAAGCCTGTCAAGTTATATATTCCACACCCTGCAGACCTGCCATTTTGCATGCAGACTAGAAATGATCTATCACCATGAACTACATGTTGGCTACAAGCCTGTCATGTTATATATTCCACACCCTGCAGACCTGCCATTTTGCATGCAGACTAGAAATGATCTATCACCATGAACTACATGTTGGCTACAAGCCTGTCAAGTTATATATTCCACACCTTGCAGACCTTGCCATTTTGCATGCAGACTAGAAATGATCTATCACCATGAACTGCATGTTGGCTACAAGCCTGTCAAGTTATATATTCCACACCCTGCAGACCTGCCATTTTGCATGCAGACTAGAAATGATCTATCACCATGAACTACATGTTGGCTACAAGCCTGTCAAGTTATATATTCCACACCCTGCAGACCTGCCATTTTGCATGCAGACTAGAAATGATCTATCACCATGAACTACATGTTGGCTACAAGCCTGTCAAGTTATATATTCCACACCCTGCAGACCTGCCATTTTGCATGCAGACTAGAAATGATCTATCACCATGAACTACATGTTGGCTACAAGCCTGTCAAGTTATATATTCCACACCCTGCAGACCTGCCATTTTGCATGCAGACTCGAAATGATCTATCACCATGAACTACATGTTGGCTACAAGCCTGTCAAGTTATATATTCCACACCCTGCAGACCTGCCATTTTGCATGCAGACTAGAAATGATCTATCACCATGAACTACATGTTGGCTACAAGCCTGTCAAGTTATATATTTCACACCCTGCAGACCTGCCATTTTGCATGCAGACTAGAAATGATCTATCACCATGAACTACATGTTGGCTACAAGCCTGTCAAGTTATATATTCCACACCCTGCAGACCTGCCATTTTGCATGCAGACTAGAATTGATCTATCACCATGAACTACATGTTGGCTACAAGCCTGTCAAGTTATATATTCCACACCCTGCAGACCTGCCATTTTGCATGCAGACTAGAAATGATCTATCACCATGAACTACATGTTGGCTACAAGCCTGTCAAGTTATATATTCCACACCTTGCAGACCTGCCATTTTGCATGCAGACTAGAAATGATCTATCACCATGAACTACATGT